AAGAGGAGATGTCAGTACAGTAGATGGCAAATTCCATTTCATTTGGACACAAAAGTTCTGTCAGGCGCTGGGGACCGGCTCTTCTTGGGTCACAGGCTACGAGCCAGACGCCCAAGCGGAAACCGAGTTCACCTTCAGGCAGCTGGGCAAGGAGAAATGCGTTTCGAGACAGCGAGAGGTTCAGCATTACCAAGGTGCAGGTGCGTAACGAAATGCATTTCCCCTTCTTCCCGTTGTCTGAAATCTGAAGGCGGCAGCACAGCTGCAACTCAGAGCGCTACAGCAGGGGAGTCAGTGGGCGTCCCAGTGTTCCTGCACCTTCACCGCCAGCCGTTGTTATTCCACTGAAGATCCGAGGAGGAATCTAGATCTGGAAAGGCAACAAGAAAGGTTTAAATGGTTTGAAAGCTCAGCGTTGCTTTTCGACTCTGACAAAGCATCGGAGTTTTTGAGCGGGCTGAGTGTCTCCAACGAGCTTTCAAATAAAAACCAGGCTCTTTCCAAATGCCTGCCTTACTGTGCCTTGGGGACAAGCCGGGGAATTCCTGGCAAGGGAAACAAGTTCCCAAAATATTGGTGAGACCAAACGGGGAAGGCTCAAGCAGGTAAATCACCTCGGTGGCACTCTGATGCTTCCCCAGCCAGGCCCAGCTGCAGTTCAGGAAGGAAGAGAACTGCCCCCGATGGCGCACCACACCGCTGCAGAGCCGACAACAAGGCGAGGACAACGCTGCCGCGAGTTTTATATGCAAAATCCCTAACGGCATTTGAAAACGGCCATCGCCACAGTCCCCAAAAAACACTGACAGCCTTCTGAAAGCTAAGTTGCAGATTAACTTTTTCAACTTTTAAAAATTTTATTTCCTTGTCTCCTCCTCTTCCCGTTGCAGAAAATAACTACAGATACATCCGACTTCAAGGAGAACAAAGGAAGCTGCAAGGGGAAGAAGAAAGGGAATTCTCCCCAGGTCCTACCCTTCCCCTGCTAAGGGCTTCTTTGAAAAAGTCATTTGAGTCAGTGACAAACCATCCTTAAGCCCACGGGAGCTCGGGATGCCAGGCATCCTGGCTTGTATCAGGAGTGGTGTGGCCAGCAGGAGCAGGGCAGGGAGCGTGCCCCTGTGCTGGGCACTGGGGGGGCCGCCCCTCGACTGCTGGGGTCAGGGTTGGGCCCCTCCCTCCCCGAAGGACCTGGGGGGGCTGGAGCGTGTCCAGAGAAGGGCAGCGGAGCTGGGGAGGGGTCTGGAGCCCCAGGCTGCTGGGGAGCGGCTGGGGGAGCTGGGGGGGTTCAGCCTGGAGCAGAGG